TTCCATGAAGTAAGTTAATTGGGTTCTAAACAGCGTGAATGTAAGTTGTAAAATGGTAGCACTTTTTTTTTTTTTTTCCCCTTCCGTTTCTGCTCCTGGTTAACCTTGCTTTGTGTCCCATGCAGGCTGTTTACCTTCCGTATCTCTGCAGATTTTGTAAGCRGCTACCAGAGAACCTCCACCTCGGGATTATAAAACAGCTGTGTCAAAAGCCGCTCTCTCCTCAGCGGGGTTGCTGGTTTCTGGTAGTCGCTGCAAATGCTGAGCTTTGCCCAAAGATGCAAGAGGAAAGAGGACATCTGGGGCTAGGAAAATGAGTGTGGCAGTTCCATGTGATTAAAATATTACAGTGTGGAGATAGCTGAATGCTGTAATTGACTGAAAATTCAATTCTAGCAGAATTCTGGTGTTTCAGTCACCGTGTGCAGCCTTGGGGGTTCCTTCAGGGGGCTTTTCTGCAAAGCTTTCACAGAGAAACGCTATTCCYTTTTCCCCCCCCTCTCCAGGGGGACAAGTAAGTGTGATCTTCTTGCTATGACTCATTATAGGACGGGTTTTAGGTGTGTGGGTTGCATGCAAAAGGTCAGTATTTTAAGATGACCTATAGTATTTAAGTACAGACTTGTTACTACAGCTGCAAGGAAGAGAAACAGATTTTGTAACTTGTTGTTAAGGTATTTTTCAGAGCAACTCAGTCAGTACAAAGTGCATCTCATTTGCCAAAAAGTGTCAAAATTATGTAAATAAAGATGATGATAGAGTTATTTGGGTGTTTTCAGYGACTTCTAAGGAAAGGGAACAAGCCTGTCACTAATGTTAACTTACCCAGAGGTGCTTACTACAATACACGAGCAGCTGCACAGCCTGGAGACTGACTGAGAGGCCCAAAACGAAGGCGTTTGCTGGAGAAAAAATGTTTAAGGAAGTACCTGGAAATAGAGCCCTACGTGCTGTGTCATTCAGCGTGCCGGGGCAGGGCACACGCTGACATTCCTGCTTGGAGAGTGGCAGGGCCCAGTGTCACGCAGAGGTGCAGGGCACCCGCAGGCTCCTGGGCCACGTGTGTGCCTGGGCACTTGCAGGCAGAGGTTATGGTTAGCAAAGAGCAGATGCAAGACCCAGGTCTGACTTGTAGTGGGTAGATACAACTTTGCACGAGTATTTGTTAAGCTGAACTGCTCTTCCCAAGCTGCTCTTCCCTGTATGACTTTTGGTTCAGGTTGTTCTAACAGAAATGCAAGCAGGAATTGCAGAGAGCCTGTCCTTCCTCCCGTCTCCTTCTCCCCACGCTAAGCTACAGCAGTTTGTCAGTAGTTTGATAGTTCCAGTAAAAATGCCAAAAGGTGTGGGATGCAATTAAAATATTTTGTTATGCACATCATTATGCCTCTTGCACAATAAAAATAACTTGGTATTAATAAAAGTTAAAAATGAGACCTTATAAAAATTACTTGATGTCATAGCAGTGAGCTCTCTGTCCAACTTTAAATAGGCTGGCCAGCTTAGTTGCCCCATTCCTCGTCTTTCAGCATGGTGCCTCTTGTGGCAATTTGTTGACTGAGATATTAATGACAGTATAAGGGCAAATGGTAATACTTAGCCATGGTTTTTATGAAAATGAAAACCTTGAAATCCCCMTAGTAATAATGCAAAAGCACCATATTCGATGGAACATACCTTTTTACTCTACAGTGCTAGTTATGTGCCCATTTTACCTTCCGTACTCTTACCATTTTGCTTATTGGTAACAACTGAAATAAATAAAGACCATTTTTGCTGCTGTTGATTTCACTGAARTTTCCCTTAAGGGATAGGGGAAGTAGAAGGTTGTTATTAGCCACAGCAGCTTGATTTTTCACACTGTCTGACTCAGCAGCGTTTGCTTCAGAGTAATGTCAAGAACGTCTCAAAGCTCCTTGCACGGCGCTTTGCACCTGACTCCTGCCCCTGYTTAGTGCCAGGGTTTGGCTCCCCTGTTATGGAGACAGTGCTTAGAGTTGCTTGGACTGCAGGTTCAGTAATTAGGTGAATTAATGTTCTTAAGGCAGGAGAAATGAGTAAAACTTAGTTACTTTAAATAGAAAAGCAAAGTTGTCACTGCTGTGGATTGGAACTGCAGATAAGCCTGACGGTTGTGGCAGTGCGTGTCGCCTTTGGGCCGCAGCTGCCGGGCACTGAGGTATTAAATGCAGATTAAGTGGTTCTCTTGTCCGCTGGAAATGGCACCATCAGCAATGTACAGTTTGAACAGCAGCTAATAGGAGTAATTTGAAAGCAATACATTAAATAATCGTAGCTCAAAACCTAGTACATAGGGGGTTCTTTTGTGCAGTTTCTGCTGAGAACTAAATGATGTCAATCTGTTTTCAGGTGTCTTTGTGTCCAGCGTTGTTCTGGTCTTACAACAGCGAGCACTTTTCAAGTTTTATATGATGGCCTCGGCGTTTCTGCTGGCTGCAACTTCAGTGTTGGTGAATTACTATGCTTCTTTGCACATAAACTTCTACAGTGCCTACTACACAGCGGCGTTCGGAATCCAGCTCTTCCCTCATAAAGGACCGTCGCTCTGGATGGCGCTTTCCATCCTGCAGCTCATCTTTGGGATTGGATACGTCACCTTGCTCAACGTGCAGTCCGTGCACTCGCAGCTCATCATCTTGGATATACTGATCCCCGTGATTGGTTTGGTGGTTGAATTACCCGTCAACGTGCGACAGACGCTCGTTTTTGTTTCGGGCCTGGTTCTGACGCTGAACACCGCAGCCATTTTGGTTATGAAAATTAAATGGTTCTACTACTCGGTGAGGTATGTGTATCTGCTGGTGAGGCACATGTATCGCATTTATGGATTACAGCTATTGATGGAAGATACGTGGAAAAGGATTCGGTTTCCAGCCGTGCTACGTGTCTTCTGGCTAACGAGACTTACAGCGCAAGCTGTGGTATTAACATATGTTGTAAAGATGGCAGAAACTAATCCAGAAGAAAAATTCTTCCTAATATCATGGGATAATTGTTGGGAACTGATTTGCAGTCTGATAATAAGTGGGTGTGATTCTACTTTGACTGTGCTAGGCATGAGTGCGGTGATTTCCTCCGTAGCGCACTACTTGGGCCTTGGCATCTTGGCCTTCATCGGCTCAACGGACGAAGATGACAAAAGGCTGGGGTTTGTGGCGCCCGTTTTGTTTTTCATCCTGGCTCTCCAGACCGGTTTAAGCGGACTGAAACCAGAGGAAAGATTAGTCCGCCTGAGCCGAAACATGTGCCTTTTGTTGACCGCAGTCCTGCATTTCATCCACGGGATGACAGACCCTGTGCTCATGTCTCTCAGTGCCTCGCACGTGTCGTCGTTTCGCAGACACTTCCCCGTGCTCTTTGTTTCTGCTTGTCTCTTCATCCTCCCCGTTCTGCTCAGCTACGTCCTCTGGCACCACTATGCACTCAACACGTGGCTTTTTGCAGTTACAGCCTTCTGCGTAGAGCTTTGCCTAAAAGTCATAGTTTCTATTACTGTTTATATATTGTTTATGATTGATGGCTACTATAATGTGCTGTGGGAAAAACTTGATGATTATGTCTACTATGTTCGCTCAACGGGCAATATAATCGAGTTTATATTTGGAGTAATTATGTTTGGGAACGGAGCGTACACCATGGTGTTTGAGTCGGGGAGCAAGATCCGTGCGTGCATGATGTGTCTCCACGCCTACTTCAACATCTACCTGCAAGCGAAGAACGGCTGGAAGACTTTTATCAACCGCAGGAYGGCTGTCAAGAAAATCAACTCCCTTCCCGAGATCAAAGGCAGCCGCTTACGCGACATTGACGACGTGTGCGCCATCTGCTACCACGAGTTCACCACGTCGGCTCGCATTACGCCCTGCAATCATTATTTTCATGCACTTTGTCTGCGGAAGTGGCTCTATATTCAGGACACGTGCCCCATGTGCCATCAGAAAGTCTATATTGAGGACAGGGAAAACGCCAACGTCTCCAACAACAGCGGCTTTGCGGYGCCGAACGAAGACGCGGGGCAAGCTGCGGAAGAAGCTGCTGGTGCTGAAAATGACCGAAATGAAGATAATGACAGTTCGGACAGTGCCGAGGAAGAGGATGACTGTGTGGAAGAGCACTTGAATGAGACTCTTAACGTTGACTCTAATTCTCTTGGTGATTAAAATGTCCTTTACTAAACCTTGAGGTATTTGTTTAAAATTGACTTCAACAGAATAAAATTATCACTTTGTAGTTATTCTACTTAAGCACAACGGCAGTATCTCAATGTTGAGTCTGTGAATGGTGGTTGTTTACTGTGGTATGTGCTACTGTAAATATACCTCGACTATTTGCTGGTCTCTTTCATGGCCACCTTAAACTTATGTACATTATTGTACATGGAATAAAATGTTTTCACATGTTTTTAAGATGGTTGGAAAAACACTCTTTAATTGATGTAGTGCTGTGCCGTGCCAAAGACTGTATTCCAGGAATCCCCGAGCAGCGAGGTGAAGGTGCAAACAGAACAGTGAGGCAGAAACTGTTCAGCAGGGCATGTTACAACTCGAGGACGCCTGAACCAAAGCAGCTTCACTTACAAAGGCAGTATTAGCAGAGCTTTATGGCCATAGCCTAGTGAGCTGGGTTAAAAAAATAAGTAAAACTTTACTAACCTAAGGGTTTTTGACTTAATGTTACAGCACTTGCATCCATGAAACAAAAATCTCAATCTGCTGAGCTCTCTGGTAACGTAGTAAAGCATGCAAGTGAGTTGTTAAAGGTTTTGTTGCTGCATTTCTCTGTTAGCGTGGAGATTTCTACCTGGGAATTGAGCCACCTGCCACATTCAGCTCGTACGAGGCAGAGGTACTACGAGAGTTGCTGGCTTGGACTGGCCTAGACCCTTAGCCTTAATCTGGATGCAAATGGAACAGGGCTGAGAAACCGCACAGAGACCACCTTTTTTTTTTTCAAAATCATCTTTAATCTTGTTTAAAAAAAAAAAATACTGGCTTCATTGCTAAGAATGTTTAGGTATGATTGTTCTCAAGTTTCTTCAGTACATTTACTGAAGTTACACTGAGTAAATATATAAGAAAAAACCACCTTATATACTTGGAAAGAAGACTTTAATAGTGTTATTATATAAAGTATTGGCCAACTCGAGTGGATCGTCTTCTCTTACTGCTGCCATAATTTCCAATATTTGACTAAAAAAGAGAGAATAGTATTAGTGAACTCAACAGTGAATATTCCTATCTGCTGCATGTGTATGTACCCAAATAACATTAATCTTGAATAAAAAAGCTATTCTGAGAGCACCAGGAAAGGGGCTTGGACATGCAAATAGCTTCACTCTTAAGTYACTAACTTTTATTCCCTTTACATCAAGCACTGGTTGCTCACTGGTACAGATTCATCTTTGGTCTTTTGACTCTTGTTTGGAGGTGATTAAACAGCTTTCTGTTTCAAAGAAAGTGTCACTTTGTGGGTGTCTTTATGAATAATTTATTTTTTCACACTGAAATTTATCAGCCTCCTTTCAAGGCTAAAACTGCAGCCTCTCCAGACACTAGTCTACTCAGTCATACTAAAATAATGCATCCTCTGTGCAACTCTCRGTAGGTTTCGTATCATCAACCCAAATTCTCAGGCTAAAGCTGATGAACCTCAAGGCAGTTGTTGGTGCTTTCTGGATCTTGCATCTAACTTTCCTAACAGCCAGACTTCCTTTTTGAGGAAGGCAGTGTAAAGGGGCCTCAGACTGTGTCTGGAACACAAACCACTTCTTCCCTAATGCAGAAGCAGCCTCTTTCAGGCCCTCTCCTGGGCTTTGCAGCCAAACAACTTCTTGAGATAAGAGGAGGCTACTAACTTGGTATCTCAGAGAAGCTAAGGGGCAATGAGGCTATTTAGCCTACAGAGAAGTAATTTTAAATGACCAAGAATTTAAACCTTGAAGTGGTTTCGTAGGGCTTGCACAGCTGTCCTCCAATGGATACAAGCAGGAGTAGCCCGTTACTTTATTGGTCATGTGGAATCACTGCAGGGGAGGAGAGCAGGAACTTGAAGGCCAACATTTTAATGAAGAGAGTTTCACGGATGCTGCTGTAGCTGTATTTTTTTTTTTTTTACATGTCTATAAGCAGCAGGATCTCCAGCAAAGCTGAACACGGGCAAGTGGGTCCTGCCTCCTTAGCCACAATAAAGGGCTGCAGTCTGATGTCACCTGCCACAAAACACCCATTCTCATMATTCTTGACTCTTCCTAAGGCTTAAGAGGTTCTCTGCTTACTAATCTACAGCTAATATGGGCTATAATTAATTTCACAGAGAGAGTCCTTCTGGAGTAAGACTGACCTAYACAAGATTATTTTAAAAGAGCGAGCACCAAAAACTGGGTGCTGCTGGAGGGACTCCATGAGCTTCCCATTCTGGGGCTTCTGAAACACCTTCCCTGTAAGCTGCAACCAAGAYAGCAAAGATATGGGAGGAACAGGGGAGTTAAGATATTAGAAATCATTTCCATTTACTATGTTTCCCGTGAAATGATTTTTTTCCAACTTTAAGATTTTAACTATTTTAAATAATATAATACACTTACATTATATGGCAGGGTTCGTTCCTGTCCTTCAAGCAGTGCCCTACTTCCCATTTCTTTTTTGTAGGAAATGTGGTTTTTATGTACTTTGATCCCGCGTGAGTATTCTTCACTCCACACCAAGGGGCATCTAGTTTCATTCAAAAAGACATAAGTATTTAGCAGGCCTTACAGTCACTTTATAAGAAAACAAATATAGCCAGTCAATTAAATAAAGTGATCCTTGTCCCAGGATATATGTGTGTGTGTGTGTGTGTGTATAATATATATAATTATATATTGCAGCCTTCTTTCCTATTACTCCATTTACAGAATGAGTGCTTCCAGACACCATTACTGCGACCCTTGGCAAGGTCACAGTAGTTGGTATTTGACACATCTACAGCAAATGAGATTCTAAAAATTATTCAGCAGGATTTGGGTATCTAAGTACACAAAAAGGACAGATGTAGATGATTTTCTGCATCCTCACCCCTACTTTCAGGAAGGGACAAGGCAGCTCAGTCTTTCTAGCTGAACATGAGTATTTCTGGAATCTGTTCACTGCTTGCTCGCCTGGAGAAAAAGGTTCCTCTCCCGCTTTCTTAGTCGTGACTCTGCCCCATCACTGCTGCCCAGGCACATCGCCTCCTCCAGCAGAATTTCAGTCATAAAAAGCGTGATCAAGACACAAGCTCTTACCGGTCTCTATCATTAATCGCTCACTAGGAATGGATTTCATGGTTTCCAAGTTAGCTTCTGTTTTCAATGAGCTAGAAAAATCACAGGAAGAAGGTTTTTATAGAAGTCATTATTTTGCCCATTGAAGTATTCTGTAGCAATAGGCAGCTTCCTAAACAATTTCCTGAGTGAATGAAACCTGCTTCAGCTCAGCCTAGCAAGGGGCAGAATTCCTCCCTCCAGCACCCAGCTGAYGTCAACCCCACAGCCTGCAGCCAGGCCCGCCTCTGGCCAGACGAATGCTGAAAATTCAGGCTATTTAACTGCTCTAGGAAGCTCATCACATTGCATTCAAATTACTCCTGGGTTTGACAAGGCAGCTTAGAATTACAGCATTTAAACCGGCCTCGAAAGGACGGCTTCTGCACTACTTTATTTACAAACAGGGATTGAAGGACAGCGGGAATTACCCTCAGACTCGATTAACTCACTGAGCTAAGAACTTTCTGTAGCTAAGAGCTTTACTGTAATGARTGGGATTCTAACTCTGTCAACAGATAATCGTTAAGAGTCTGCTGAGCTCTGAAGACTTAGAAGAAAGCAGTGAGAGTTCAGGAGAGCTAACATTCCAGAATCGTTTCCATTCCTGAAAAGAACTTACCAGCCATTTATTCCAATATAGAGATCTAAATCTATTAGAGCAGCTGCTTCTTCCTTCGTGCCATCAAAAGAATGCACCTGGAATATATTTACATATGTCACCATTTAAAGRCTCAGCAGCCCAAAGGATGTGGTAATTTTTGTGATGCGAATSCCCCCACTGGTGCCTACACAGGACGGGGGAGAGGCCAGTGTCATCTCTGAGGCGCTTACGCTGTCCTCTGAGGGGCCAAGAGACACTGCTCCCGTGGGCTGCCGAGCTGTGCTCGGCCTATCCCCTCACCCTGCAAGAAGGTGTAGCAGGAGCAGCAAAAATAAAAACACTGGAAGGGATAAAAACACTGGAAGGGATTGAAAGGTGGTTGCTGATTTGTAAGAACTTGAATCATGGAAAAGGAAACTGGACTCCCTGGGAAACAGGGAGTTCCTTACGAGGGCCTAATAACTCACACTCAGGCCCTCCTCTCCCCGCCGTATCTACACAAACCTGTATCTGCACCTGAGGGCTGAACTCAAGTCTCTACTTACCACTCCTCTGACAAATCTATCTCTATTTCTTCTCATTATATCTGTGAAGGCAAATGAATAAAAATCTAAGTATCTTTACAGAAGAAAAGGGCAAAAGATTCCCCAATTTTTTTCATATTCAGCATGTTACCTAAAAAATCAGCATGTGAGTTTCTACAGTGGAGAAACATTGGCAGCCGTGTTCGTTCTGCCAGGTCAAACTGCTTCTCAAAATATCTGTAAAAGACAGAACACTTAACCAGAATTTGGTCTAAGAATAAATACACATAACAGAAACATTTTCCATTGCTTTCATGTTTTTGCCTTCAAGAATTAGAGCCATAATGGATTTGCCATTAAAAARTTGTTATTTGTAGAAGGATTTAAGAATTCCATTTTAAGAGGTACYCTTTCACATGATATATTCATGTATTAGCCATCTACTTTGGAAGACAGGTAAGAAGTGGCAAGAATGGCAGTACTGGAAGAATTTATGCCACACAAGTGCTCTGCCAGAAGCTGCCCCTTCCCTGCTTTTTTGGTTGCTTTCTGGGGAAAGGAGGGGGGTTAAACTAAAGAACTGCCTGTTTTCTCCATGAAGTTCAGGAATGTCAGCAATGGAAGTCAGCTGTGGAGAGATCACACAGGAGCCCATCTCGAGAGGSCCATGTAAAAGCTGGGAACGTGATGGTGCTATGTCCACATACTGCACTCAAACTGACAGAAAATGGGAAAAAACACTGCTTTATGTTTTCACATCAAAAAAACAAGGGCAATACAGAACAAAGCCAATGCAAGTGGGTTTTAATTTTTTTTTTTTTTCAGTTTTCACTATCTTCTTTTTATTATCATGTTACTATTTCTCTGATATAGTTGGGTTCTCTAGCAGTGCAGATCTTTCACATACAGCATGTAAACCAGCGAGAGAAATGAGCTGTAAYGTTAAAAAAGACTTGAAAATTCACAGCAGGAATTACAGCTGCTTAGTATTTTCTAGATACAACACATTTTTAACTGCAACTCATGATTGCTCAAGTGGTTAAATGACTGAAATAGCTTGGTTTAAAAAAATAACTTTTTTAAAAGCTTCTGTCATATGGAAATTTGGGGAGAAGGGTGGTGCTCTTGAAGGTATTTAGGGACCTGCAGAGGGAAGGATCTGCCTCTCTCAGCAGCAAGAGAGTTCAGTGCCTGCTGCTACTTAGTCCGCCAAAGGGAGAGAGGATGTGGATGGGGAAAGAAAAAAACAAAGGGAAAAAGAGAGGCAGGCAAAGTGTGAAGAGACCAGACGTGCTGCAGTCAGCAYGGCAACTCCGTAAGTCAGTGGGATCCAAGCCTCTCTGCTTCCACTGCCTAAGGAACAACGTCTTTTAGCTCTTAGACTAGGAAAATGTTATTTATTAGGCCTGTTCTGTGTTGCCTCTCAATCCTGAAGTTTGAAAATATTTTTGCAACATGCTTATTTGCAGCTTTAGTTTTGACCATAAAAATAAGATTAGAGGCCTTATTTTAAGTTTTGGAATCCAGGCACCCACGCAAGCTGCTCGTGCTGAGGTAGATGCTCTCGAGATCAGCAYATCTGGGTCCATGTGAATAACAACACACATTATTTTGGGTGGCTGCCCCCACCTTTTGGTTAAAAAMCCCTCATTTCCACATTGTTGAGTCCCCAAAACTCAGCACAGTCACAGCAGAAATGACATAACTAGATATTTCTTGATTTATAACATCATTTAAAATGTGGTCATTTAAACGACCGCAGAATCACCATGACAAAAAAAGCAAAGTGAAAAGAGGGCATAAACAGTCCATTGGGCTGTTTCAACACTGGAGCTGCAGCGCATCCAGAYAGAAAAAGCAGATTTTTTTAGTCCTTAAATTTGCCTCTCGACAGCAAGAGGGCAGTAAGAATCTTAAAATACTTAAGATATCCCAGCAAGGTTTGAGTTTGCCACAAAAGAGAAACAGATTCTCCTCCAGGCTGTGCTTTGCTGACCTTGTTGTGCATCAATTCTATCCCTAAAAGAGGTTCTGCCCGCTTGGCTGAACATGACCCTATACAACCGGAGTGCTACAAAGATGGGATTAACTCTAAAACCTGCTAACAAGCAGGACTGGAAAGAGAACACCGCTAACCACCGCCCCCCTGTGACTAACGGTACTCAGCACAGGGACCCATTAATCCCTCCCCTCTTGAATTCATCACCTACCTTTCTCAGACAGTTACTTTTGTAGGCAGAGTTTAGCAGCACAAAATGAGCTGATTTTAGGACTATGCTGCTTTCTTTCCATTCAGTACCACTGCTGCATATATTACAGTACTATATTACTACATATATATTACATATGTATATACATACATATACACAACAGTATATACTACTACAGTATATCACTCACCAGCTCCCCAAATTRCCTTTTTTAAATCAGTTTTCCTCAAAATGCCTCCTCCCAGCTAAGCCCTTACTAAAAGGCTCGCTCTTGTCCCCTGCTGTCTGGGCTACTTGGCAGCTCTGCTCCCCATCCCCTCTTCCTTTGCACCCTTCAGTTCTGCTGCCCTCCTTGTGAGTCTCTAGCAGTTCTTGAGCATAAGCAAGAATGAACATTTGTCACACTCAGAAACTTAAAAGTTGACTGATTTCAGGAAAGGACTTGCTAAGTCAATGCTAGGCAAGGAGTTTGGTAAAACTTAGTGCTTAACTCTGCTTAAACACAGGCCTCTGTCTTTAATTTCACATTTCTGTCTTTTTTTTTTTTTTCTTTTCTTTTTTTTTTTTCTCTTTTTAACTTCAGTCTAGGTCTGACAAAATGTTACCTGGTACAATACAAGATGGAAATTATTTCTATAGACTACTACCAAGTCAATTCATAGTTATTAGAAGTTTCTTACTTGAGTTGGGTGTCCTTTGGGCAAAATTCTAATCTATCAAAATCTACAAATAGAGAGAAGAAAACTCAGTTAGCTAGTTGTGATGGTTTTTTGTTCGTTTGTTTTAATAAAGGAAAAATAACCATTTTGAAGTACTAGGTCAATGCTTACCCAGGCCACATTCCCCAACTGCAAGTATTTTTGTCTTATTTTCCTCAATCAGATTTTGTAATTCACATAAATACTGATCAGGGTTACTCTGCTCAAATTCTCCACAGCGGGTAGGATGGCAGCCAGCTGTACTGTAAAACATATCTAAAGCAAGAAAAAAGAAATGTATAAAAAGCAAGAAAAAAGAAATACATAAATTACAGCAACTGTCTGGATTTATTTTTAGCTCTTAACTTTAAAAGAAACTTCTGAATGTCTTTTTATTTTTTGATGGTTCTATTAGTCTAATATTTTTCTACTGTAACAATGGCAGACAGTATCTCTATAGASGTCTTATTAGAGCATGTCATTTAATAAACTTTAAAACTGCAACTTGCAGGTGAGTAATTACTCTGTGGGAGAAGCCCTCAAAGAGAAATATGACTTGTTCAGAATGAATTAGGTTTCCCCCAGCTGGAAAATTTGTAGATAGCACAGCAGCCACCCTGCACACCTCCACATTAGCACAGAATTAAAATATCTGGCCTGATTTATCTAAAAATCTAATTAAATACCAGAACTAAGAGAACTGATCAGTGCCTTTATGGAAGATGTAAACACATGAAAAATACTCAAGCACATAAGGGCCAGAACAATGTCACCTAACGTTAAGGCCAGTCCCGCTTCACTGGGGGCAGAAGGAAGGAGAGGTTGGGCCAGTTCCCTCCTCAGGTGCATTCCAATCATTCCAATTCCAACATAAATTATTCTAAATCTGTATTTTGTAAGCTAAACTTTAACATACATTCAAGCAAACAAAAGTAATTAGCTGAATAATATTTGCCAAAGGGAAAAAAAAAAGTGGGATACTTTGCTTTAAACAGAAAGAAATGGAAACTGGGAGAACTGGAAAAGAGAAAGATATCTGCCTTCTTCATGTGGGTTGTGATAGCTTGGTAAGAAGAAGAAGCAAACAAACAAAATCCCACCAAGTAACACGCGTTGCACAGAATGCAATCATTTTGGCTATGTCTGGGAGACTTGTCCATTCAGAACCCTGCACACTTTGATTCTTCTAAGCATTTGTATTTAGAAATTACAACTCGAAATACAGATATTTAGAACTTAGAAATACAGATTAAAAACCGCAGGAAAGACTGATTCCCTCCAACACTCGGGGATCTAAGTAACAACACGAAGAAACTCACACACAGTGCACTCATCCCAATCTACAACAGAATTTGTTTTTCAATCTGAGATTCTATCAGAACCTCCAGGGACACATTCCTTCAAATTCTTCATACTGACAGAGAAGACTTTTTTTTTTTTTTTTGACTGACAGAGAAAAAATGTTTAAAGTGAGGATACCATTAGTCTGTGCCAGCTGCAGCGCATCTTTACTATCTTGCAGACTTCCACCTGTAATCAAAAACTTGGAAGAAGAGAAGTTCTGTCATCAACACACTCAGCTTTGAGCAAACAGAGAATGCTTAAGAAAACACTCAGATACAAATTACAAGACTAGAAGACAATAAATGCTAGTATATTTAAGAAAAAAATCATAAATTAGTAACAAACCTCAATATTCCCTATAAGCTAGTACTGCATTACTAAGAACTAGGCTGGACTTTTTTTCCTTATCAAGTATCTTCCATACCACTTTATATCACTTAATAAGTTAAATGCTTCTATTTGCAGCAATATTAACTTCATTGCACAGTGACTCAAGAAATTTTACTTTTCTTCTGCACTAAGAATGGCATTCAGAAAAGCATTCTGCCTGTCTTACAGCTGGAGAAGCAAACAACCAGAAAAAAAAAAAAAAAAAATCACAAAACAACCCAAACATGGGCCCATCAAACAAATTAGATATATTGGAAAGCAGTTAAAATACTAAGCAAAATTTGTAATTATAAAAAAAAATTACCTTTTTAACACCAACTTTGACTGCTCTCTCTACCACATCTAGAAAGTCATCTGCAAGAGTTTACAGAAATTTTTTTTTTCTTCTGCAAGAAGAATGGCATTCAGAAAAGCATTCTGCCTGTCTTACAGCTGGAGAAGCAAACAACAAAAAAAAAAAAAAAAAAAAATCACAAAACAACCCAAACATGGGCCCATCAAACAAATTAGATATATTGGAAAGCAGTTAAAATACTAAGCAAAATTTGTAATTATAAAAAAAAATTACCTTTTTAACACCAACTTTGACTGCTCTCTCTACCACATCTAGAAAGTCATCTGCAAGAGTTTACAGAAACATCACACGTTAAACGTGAGATTTTACAGTATAGTTTAACTACTTCTGAACTACAAACCACTTTCCTGCAGTCAAAATACATACACATTGTGGGAAAACTTTAAACCACATTTGATTAATTCTGTAGAGGGAACAAATGAACGCAGTAATTGAAAATCTGACTCAAATCTGAGAAGTCAGTGGATTTTTTTCCTGTGTTTCTACAGCCTGCTTGATTCTACCTGTGCATCTGAAGAACATGAGAGCCAAAAAGCACCAGTTATAGTGAGTAACTGGCTCAGCAATGCAATATTGTGACAGGTCTGATGTTCCCTACGGCTCAGGCCAGTGTCTTTCGGGCTGTTGGGGCCTCCTGCTACACACACAACAGCAGCAGCTCCCTTTTTTCTCTAGAGGCAGAGTTACCTCTACAGCAGCTCAAGAGAGGCTGAATACAAAGGAACGCATATCTCTCKGAACGTGTAATTTATTTTGGTACAGTTTCCACTTCAAGCACTTGTAAATAATAAACCTCCAGCCTTTGAAGAAAAGGAGAAATCCTAACCTCACCTTCTGAGGACTATTTTTTGGAAAGGGAAACCGTGCCTTCCAACAGATAAAAGGAAATATTCACCTTGATGTTTCTGCGTTCCTCTGTAGACGCCTCTGAACGCGGGATCTGCCAGGTTGACGCCAATATCTACCGGGGAGAAGGGCAGAACCAGCGGGTGAGGGCGGCGGGCGCTGCGGGTGCCGCTGCGCGGCGGGGAGGCTCATGACCGGCGATGTCCGCACGGGCCCCGGCCCACGGCAGCGCTCCCCACCGAACCGAACCGCGCGCTCTCCTCTGGGTTTTCCTCAGGAACCCGCCCCGCACCCGCACCCGCCACCCCCGCGGCGGGGCCGGCCACGGCGCCCGGGCCGCGCTCACCGATCAACTTGGCGCGGCTCATGGCGGCGGCGCGGCCGCGTCTGCGCCTGCGCGGCGCCCGCCGCCTTCCCGCTCCGCCCTCGCGCCGCGCTGAGGGGAGCGGAGGGCGCCGCGACATGGCGGCCTACCTGACGCACCAGCAGAAGGTGCTGCGGCTCTACAAGAAGTCCCTGCGGCACCTGGAGTCCTGGTGCATCCACCGGTGAGCGCGGCGGCGGCGGCGGGGCCCTGCCGGGGGGCTCTCGTGGCCTGTCCGCCGGCTCATTCCTCCTCCTGCCCTTCTCAGTCATGGCGGCGGCGGCAGGAGACGCCTCCGCGGTCGCAGAGCGGCCTGTGCCGCGGGGAGAGGCGCCCTGTGACAGCAGGGACCCCTGGCCCCCCTCTGCCTTCACGCGGGGGTGGCTGGTGATTGAAGCTGCTCTGCTTTGTTCCTTGTCCCCCGCTCTGCCTCCGTGTCCTCCCCGTCCTCCATGCAGCTCCGTCCTAGYGTAACCTCTCTCCGCAGAGACAAGTACCGCTACTTCGCCGTGCTCCTGAGAGCCCAGTTCGACCAGCACAAGCATGAGAAGGACATGGTGAAGGCCACGGAGCTGCTGAAGGCGGGAGAGCAGGAGTTCTGGGAGAGGCAGCACCCGCAGCCCTACATCTTCCCCGACTCGCCGGGGGGCACGGCCTACGAGCGCTACGAGTGCTACAAGGTGAGGCGGCCGGCGGGGCGCTGTGCTCGGCCCCCTCGCTATGGAACAAAAAAGGGGTTTCAGTAGCCTTTATAGGCCTGCTGCTTGTATTAATAGAAGGTTTTGGAACACAGGCAGTTCCATCTCCATGTGAGGAAGAACTTCATCACTGTGAGGGTGCCAGAGCCCTGGCAYAGGCTGCCCAGGGAGGCTGTGGAGTCTCCTTCTCTGGAGATCTTCCAAACCCGCCTGGATGCTGCCCTGTGCCCCATGCTCTGGGTGTCCCTGCTGGAGCAGGGGGTTGGACTGGATGATCCCTAGAGGCCCTTCCAACCTCAGCCATGCCGTGGTTCTGTGATTCTTGCTGGAAAGACCTCCTGGCTGCTTGGTGGGCAGGAGCTGCTGGGTGCAGGGTGGGACAGAGGCAGGGAAATGTGGCAGAGCAGCAGGAGCAGCGCCCGTGGTGCTGCCCAAAGGCTGCTCTCAGCTGGGCCTCTCGGGGAGCCTCTCGTCCCTCCATCCCATTGCTCCTCCAGCACTTACAGCAAGGTCCAAGCCATCATTGATGATCATTTGGTCATGATCACAACCCTTGGTGTGCTGCAGTGCTAGGTAAGTGYTGGAGAACCATGGAACATTAGTCTAAAAGAGTCACATTATTAGAATTTAAAGTACCTTTAGAGATTTTTTTTTTTCCCCTCCATGTTGTATTATTTACAAATAAACTTTTTTTTCACTTAAAAATGAGGTGTTTTGACTTTTTGGATATTGATTGTTTTAGTATATTTTTAAATAGCTGATAAAGAGATTATGCATCATTTCTTTTCTCCTGCATTTTGAAGAAAATGCYGATACCCAAAACTAGCCCTGATGAGATCTGTATGTATATGGAGGCTTATGAAAGGAAAAAAAAAATGACACATGTGTTTATTAGAGTGGAAAAAAGGGGAAAATTTAGGAATGAGTATTGAGGAAAGGGAYAGCTAAGTTAATACCAAAGTCTTTGGCATTTAATAATAGTAGAAGTAAGAATAGAGCTAACAATAATTAAGAATCCAGACAGGAAAGATGTTGGCTAAGAAATATATTCTGAGTTTGGTCTTGATATAGAAATTTAAGATTTTTTTATGCTTTCTTTTCTTATTTTCCTTGTTTTTTATGCTAGTGCTATATAGCTAGTGCTATATACCTAGAACAGGTATCATCTCAAGGATTTGGTTTGCTGTGATTGTTTATTGTGAATGCAGCTGCTTTAAATGTAATTTTTAGATCTGGCTCTGATGAGTTTAGTTGGCGTTTGCTGCGTGTGGAGAGGTCTGTGTGTGTAAATGTTTCTGTTAAGCCTCATTGGTGCTGAGAAGTACAGCAAGAAAATGGAAATATCACAGAACGGCTGAGTCTGAAGAGGTCACCTGATTAAAAGCTCTTACAGGCCACTCATTTCTGAACAGCAGTAGGCTAGAAGTGAGCTATTGGGTTCTCTCTCTCTTAAAGAAAACGAGTTGTGAATTAGTAGCTTTGGAAAAGCACCTGTTTAATCCACTGCCTTCAGGAGCAGGAGGGAAGAAATGAAATCCCTTCTATTAGATGCAATTACCTGTGGAGCTTTAAAGTAACCTGAGGTGACTGGGATCAGTCTTGGGGCTGCTGCGGTGTAAGCAAGTCCCTGTGGCTTTTGGTAACCCATTAAACCAAGATGAAAAGCACTGACCTCTGACGTGGCTTGTGATCAACAAGSCACATAACTCCTCATTTGTGTTTTCATGCAGTGCTTTATGATCTGTTTACCCATTTTAGCCCTGGTTTCAGTGAGGGAATTGATTTCTTTGTTGTGTACATATCTCCATCTATGTTTTATCAAGGACACCTGTGATTTCTTTTTTTTTTTTTTTTTCCTCCTCTCCCTGTTGACAGGTTCCTGAGTGGTGTTTGGATTTCTGGCATCCCTCCGAGAAGGCAATGTATCCCGATTACTTTGCCAAGCGAGAGCAGTGGAAGAAGCTGCAGCTGGAGAGCTGGGATAAAGAGGTCAGTTCAGCACCAAATTCAGAGCCCCTGCAGCCAGCGAGTGTCTTGTGTTACGTGTTGGTAGCTGTTCTTGAAAAATGCGCTAGGAGAGAGCAGTGAGTGTCAACTGCAGCCTTAGTTAGGCTGTGCTTTAATAGAACTTCACTCAGCAAGAAACATCTGCTTAACTCTAAGATGCATGTGCAGGTRTCAAAATTCTCGAATGCTGCTGGAGGCCTGAGGTCTCCTCCGACTTGCCTGCAGGTTGTTCAGGACTTGAATTATTTGGAAGCTTTCAGAGCAGCAAGGGAATGCAGTCTGGTTTTAATGTGCAGTGGGAGACATCAACTAGGAAGAAACACAAGGATCTTTTACGAGAGAAGTTTTGCTTAAATTACTAGAACTCCTTTTTATTGACATGAGTGTGCAGGGAGTTTGTAGTTACACTGAGTTACAGTGTAGTTACAACATGAAATGTGTGTGTCAGCTTCGTAGAAGAGGTTGGTGGCTTGTCCTTTCCCCCCGGAGCTGAGGCCGGGTTCCCTTGCTGTCTGAGTGCTTAAATCCCTGTGAGTTGGTGGTGGGCACTGAAGCCCCGCTGTGTTTTGCCTTCCAGGTGAAGCAGCTGGAAGAGGAAACTCCCCCCGGCGGCCCCAAGACGGAGGCGCTGCCTCCGGCGCGCAAGGAAGGGCGCCTGCCGCCGCTCTGGTGGCAGTACGTGACGAGGCCCCGCGAGTCCCCCATGTGACACCGTCCCCTGCACGGTGAGTTGGAGCGCGCCCCTCTGCGAGCCGCAGCACGGAGCCCCACGTGGCACCCAATAAACACGAGTGAAACTCAACGGGAGGCGTTTGGTGGTGTCTCGTCCTCCTGCTGTTGTCCTCCTAGTGTTGCCAGCGAGTGGAGGGAGGGGATCCTGCCCCTCTCCTCAGCTCTGCTGGGGCCACRCTTGGAGTATTGGGGGCAGTTCTGGCCTCCCCAGGACAAGAGGGACGTGGAGCTTCTAGAGAGGGTCCAGTGGGGAGCAACMAAGATGATTAAGGGACTGGAGCGTCTGTCGTGTAAGGAGAGGCTGAGTGAGTTGGGCCTGTTCAGCCTGGAGAAGAGRAGGCTGAGAGGAGATCTGATCAATATGTRTAAGYACCTGAGGGGAAAATGTAGGGAGGAAGGGGCCAGGCTCTTCTCAGTGGTGGCCAGTGAGAGGACAAAGGGCAATGGGCACAAGCTGAAACACAGGCAGTTCCATCTCTGTGTGAGGAAGAACTTCTTTCCTGTGAGGGTGCCAGAGCCCTGGAACAGGCTGCCCAGGGAGGYTGTGGAGTCTCCTTCTCTGGGGATCTTCCAAACCCGCCTGGATGCCGCCCTGTGCCCCGTGCTCTGGGTGTCCCTGCTGGAGGGGCAGGTTGGACTGGATGATCCCTAGAGGTCCCTTCCAACCTCARTCACTCTGTGATCCTGTGGTTCTGTCAGAGCTCGTTCGAGCAGGCCTGCACGGTGGCTTGGTACCTTCTCCATGTGTGTGTGATGCTAGCGGGAGCGCCGGGCTGCGCGTCGGGATTCCCAGCGCCAGAGCTAACTTGCTGAAGGGGAACATAGCCCGAGAAGGTTGATCCTGCTGGAACTTGTGATTTTGCAGATAAAAGCTGGTCGCTGCCTGACTCGGATTTCAGCTTCTGCCCCCACTGCAGCCTTCTCGTGTAGGTGCCCTCGACACTGCTTGCGTCGAGCCTGAGGTCCCRGAGGAAGAAGAGGAGGAGAAAGGCACAGGCAGAGCTGGCTGCCTCTTGCAGGGTGCTCGTTGTCTGCACTGCGTGGCAGGGGAAGCTGAGGTGTACAAGGTGCCCGAGGGCAGGTACTGATGACAAGGCAGTTGCATCCTGCCCAGCTTGGAACTTTCACCAAAATCCTAATATTTAATATGTAATTTTAGTGCTCAAAGACAACTGTTTTAAAAGGAAACACCACCCCATAATGTGTGGCTTGAAGCTCTAATCCCTGCTTTCAAGCATGAGTAGCAACCACTGCCTCGGAAGGGTTAAAACAGAGGCAAGGTCAGTAGATAGCTAGGAAATCGATGAAATCTAAGTATATATATGTGTGTGTATATAAAAATATACATATTTTTCCCTGAATAGTTGGTCTTAGCTGCAGTACAGAATGACAGGTTAACTTTCTTATGCATAGGTGAGTTCCAGTATCTTTCTTCCACAAGATGGAAAAGGTTACAAAAAATTAGTTCCTTTCCGCAGGGACAATCAGGTTAATAAAATCGTGGCCTGTGGAGGGTACTGGGGAGRAGAAGGTGCCAAGGGTGCAGCAGGAAACATGCAATTAATCTGCTGCCTAATTGGGGAGCTAGAGCTGGTGGCAGAGCAGGAAAGGTGTCTCTGTGGCTGGCTGCTCCCATCAGGCAGAACAGAACCAGCCCAGCTTGCTGTGAGAGGCATCGCAGAATCACAGAATTGCTGAGGGTGGAAGGGACCTCTAGAGAYCATCTAGGCCAACCCCCAGGGACACCCAGAGCTCAGGGCGGCATCCAGGCGGGTTTGGAAGATCCCAGAGAAGGAGACTCCACAGCCTCCCTGGGCAGCCTGTGCCAGGGCTCTGGCACTCTCACAGGGAAGGTTCTTCTCACATGCGGATGGAACTGCCTGTGTGTCAATTTGTACCCATTGCCCTTTGTCCTCTCACTGGCCACCACTGAGAAGAGCTTGGCCCCTTCTCCCTACATTCCCCCTTCAGGTACTTAAACATATTGATCTGATCCAGGGCAAACAGGCCCAACTCAGTCTCTCCATGTCATAGCACRGAGCCTGGCTCATCAGTACATGGCATGGGCAGAAAGTTGCAGCCATGCAGACCCAGCAGGAATGAAAATAGGGCCCTTTTGAAGACCCAGCTGCTCTGCAGCCCAACCACCTTGACCTTGCCCGCCTGACAGATTGGAGACTCCCAACTAAACGGGATCTAYGGCAGGGAAGGGAGCAGCCGAGGCRGCCGCGGCGCTCGCAGGTGTGGGGGTCACTGCCCAGCAGCGCCCGCGCTCGCCGCAGCACCGGCCTCCAGCAACGGGGGTTCCAGGTCCACGCGCAGACTGGTCACCTGCATTCCCGGCCAGAGGACAACCGGCAGGGACAGCAACACAACGAGCAGTTAAGGGCAAGTGCCATCATCAGCCTCGCCAGGTTCCTTCTACTGCTCTTTCTCCATCATCAGCCTCTCCAGGTTCCTTCTACTGCTCTTTCTCCATCATCATCCTCGCTGAATTCCTTCTGCTCTTTCCAGCAGCCGTTAGTAAAAGGCAAGTACAAGTTTTGAGGGCTCTCTTGCTCCCATTACGTGTATGAAAATGGTAGCTGAAATTCAGATGGAGTTTCCATGGCCATGAGTGGTTTGATGAAAGAAAATGTTAAGAAGAAAGCTCTGGAAGCAGAAAGGATATTAAAAAAAAAAAAAAAAAAAAAAAAAAAGACACCCAAAATACCAAAGTTTTCCAGCAGTTCTTTATTCATAATGTAGGCTTAAGCAATCATTACAATGTAGAAGGGAGACACACTTACAGCAATTATTTATACCAGTTTAGAACAAAAAACTGCACAGGGAGAGCTCAACTCTCAGTACAAACTAGCAACTAAACCACAATAATTTACCATTAGAAACATTTTATTTTTCAGCTGTGACACTGCTTTTACAATATGCAAAAACACAAACAATAGAACTATCCAAAGTGTTTTGTCACATTCTTTCTACATTGAATTTGGCAACATTTTATATTAAATTTTACGGATTATACTAACGTTTAAGAACTAAACAAGTGAAAAGCTGTACTCCGGTACAGTTACATCCATTTATTCCAAAGGTTTAAATAACACTTTTAACTATTGAGATTATCTCCTAGCAGTTTTTGTTTATGCAAAAACCATCTCCAAGCCTCATTTGCACAATGCATCAGCTACTGTGTCAAGATTGGTGGGCTACACCACAGGCACTACTGTTTATTATATTCGGTAATAAGGAGCTTGTTTTTCAAAGAAAGGAAGGTTTAATATTTTCTAAGAATCATGCCTTTTTTTTTTTTTTTTTTTTTTTTTGATTTTTTTGCTGTTAAGCAATGACAAAAAACAACAAAAAATAATGTTTGCAACCACAGCAGTGTAAAATGTCCTACCGACCACAGCGAGCACACAGTTACGAGAAGTTTCACGTCCAGGGCAGTTATGTATGAAAGCAGAMGAGGTTGTGGGGGACGTGGGGAGCCAGGGGGAAGGTGCGGAGCCCTGGGGGAGCGCCGGCCCCTGGGGCAGCCCGAGGCAGCGCTCCGGAGCCTGCCTGGGCCCTGCCCCTTTCCCTGGGCCTCGGGGGGCGGCTGTCGCGGCCACAGCTTGCTGGTATTTCAAAGAAAAACCTAACTCTTAGCAGTTCTATCAACAGCTTCCAAAAAACACGGACTCAAAATTCCCCAAAAAAACAAGGACAGAGTGGTTGGACTCCCCGAACATCAAATAAAAAAGAGTTTCTCTCCCCCCCGCCACCCCCAACCCCTTGTTTTATTTAATAAAAGCCAATCGACTGCCATTTAAAAGGAGGTTAGAAAAACAAGCCCCTGTATTGGAAAGAGACATTCGCGGTTTCTTAGAAGACCAGCTGGTTCCGCCTGTCACATGGGTACCAGTTTTCGTAAAATATTTGGGTTTTCCAGGGCGCCCAGCCTGCTGGGCACGCTCACACAGGAAGGCATTTGGATAATGATAACAGCTATGAACTCCCTGCCTGCATTTTTTGGAAAACCGCTTTCACGCTGTAACCGCCTTGAGCCTGTCGACCGAGCAGGTCCTGGGTGAAGGGAYGGGGAGCAGCCGGAGCCGGAGCCGGCGCCGGAGCCGGGCCGGCCCGCGGGGGCTGCGTGCCCGGGGCTGAGAGCTGCGCTGTGCAGTCGCAAAGAAACGCGGAAAGAAACCCCCAGAAGGCTTCGAAACACCCTACGGAACAAAACACTGCAACCCAGTATGGCTTATTCTGATGCATTTACCATGAAGCTACTAGTAATTAACCCTACTAGCCTACCTTTGTGCAACAGCAGCTGCTAATTCGATGGCATCTCCCTCCCCCCACTACCCCCAATACTTTACACCAACTGCAGGATTCTTCCTTGCATTATATATTGCTTTTATTATCATTTTTTTTAATTTTTCCTGCTTTTCAAACATCTTAATACTTAAATGAGGATCTAATTCCTTACTGCTCGACTTAAACTTGAAAATAAGTCCCGCTGTTTTTCTTTTTAACCTCACTATTACAAGGCGCTCTACAAAAGCTTGCAAAAAAAGCCAAATTCATTAAATCCCTTTGCTGAAGAAGTTAACTACTCAACATTTGTGTTTTTTTTTTTCTCCTATGAGTCAAAACTTTACAAAGAGTTATAAAAAAGGTAAATGGGATTTGGCACCTTCAGAGAAAATTAAAAGTGTAACTTAGATCCCAAAAAAATGCAGCAACAAAATCGTTGATATTTACAAATTAAAACACCAGCGAAGATGACGTCTCACTACGCTCTTTCTTTCACCTTGTTTTCCTTTAGTACTCTCAGACTTATTAGCGAGTTTCCTACAAAAAGAACCCAATTTCACTGATGGGACCGGGAGGGGCGGCGCCGCACGGGCCGTCCCGCAGCGTCCGTGGCGCCGCGGCCCCTAGGAGATGCGCGGCGCGGAGCGGTCGTTGGTCGTGGTCTTCTTGAGGCGGACGCCGCGGCGGATGGCGTGCAGCATGTCTTGCCCCCGCGCGGCATCGTCGCCCTCGTCGTCGCCGCCGTCCTGGCGCTCGCCCTGCTCGCCCTGCTCGGCCGCCGCCGGCCGCGGCGGCTCCTCGGCCGCGCTCAGTTTGTGGCCGGGCGCGTTGGCCGCCGCCTGGCCGCCCCACGAGGGGCAGGGCGCGATGGTGCCGCCCTCGGGGCTCTGCTCGGCGCCCTCCTCGGCGCCGGCCGCCGCTCCGGGCAGCCCTCCCGGCACGTCGGGCACCGTGGGCGTCTTGACGGGGATCACGGGCGTCTTGATGGGAATGGGGCCGGCGCCGATGGTGCCGCGTCGCACGCAGGGCTTGGTGGAAGGCGTCCGCCGGATGGTGGCCACGCCGGGGGGGGCGGCGCCGGGTCCCAGCGCGCTCGGCAGACCTGCAGTGGAGGCAGGACGCTTGGTCTGAAACATTCTGCGATAAGACTGGCTGATGTCACTGTTTCTTGGGATGGTGGAAGATTTGTCAAACTCCTGCTGCTCTGCCTCCTGGTCACCACTCACAGAGAAATAATCATAATCTGAAACTGAGGCCAAAAGACACCGTTAGGAACGAGCTGGAGAAGACAGCTGGCTCGTGTCATCGCAGCCCCTGCGTGTACCCCAGGAAGCCTGGAGCTCAGCACCGACTAAGGGAGGTGTCACCTCAAGGAGGAAGAAAGCCCCAAATCGTGTGACCAAGGTTTGAAAAAGAGGTGACTGAACCCAGACAGGAGGGTGGTCTGAAACTAAAGCTGCAGCAGGGCCAACGTCTCTGCAGAGAGAGCAGTTGCAGCTGCATCTTCAGGCCCTCCTCTGGAAAGGGGCTAATGAARTAACAGGCACTCAGTGTTTGTTACCCAGGGCTTAAAACCTTCAAAACCTGCATCCTGTGTGATACTGCCGTAGATGCAGATGCTGAAGACTGTCTGTGGCCAGAAAGCCTTTTGTACTTTTGGGACCAAAAAGTATTTCGAGGTGGGGCACCGGGAGGTTTGGGGGGCTGTGCACAAGCGATGGCAGCAGCAAACATGCTCATTTTGCAAACCCAGGGTATCCGACAGCTCAGTCTGAGCAGTGACAACTGCGTGCAGGTGCTTCCTTGCACAGGGCTGCGGAGCCCGACACCACCAACCTCGGCCTCTCTCACCTTGCTCCTAGCTCCAAAAACAGGCACCAGAAATTCCAGGCCTTACTTTACCTTCCCAGCCAGGCCCACTTAAGGTCTCCAATGGAGATTTCTGCTTACGTAGGAAATGAAAGCTCGTGAGGGGAAACCAATGGCAGACTCAGAGTTACTGACAAAGCAAAAAGCAGAGTTTGGGAGCGCAGCTTCGCTGAGACAACCGCCCACGAAGGACGTTGCCACCACGAGAGGTGCAGGGTGCAAACCCAGGAACACTYGGCTTATCCCATTCAATGTAATTCCAGCCTTTTCTTTAAAGCCCCATAGCACCCTTATGCTAAAGCTCTTTCTAGTAACGTTGCACAGCACATGGAAGTTCAGCGCGCTCTGCAGCAATCCCACCAGTGGGGYTAACAAATCCAGATCGCTCTCAAGCTGGAAAACCCTTCAGCAAACGAAGCCCCCCTTTCCCCTCCATTTCCCTCCCTGGCACCCTCAAGGTGAGGCGGGGGCGGGAGGCTCCTCCCCGCTCCCGAGGGCGTCCCGGGGCGGCGCGGGCACCTTGCGAGGGGATGGTGTCCTCGGAGCAGCACGGCGTGGTGGTCTGCGTGCTGTAGCCGCTGGAGCACTGCAGGGAGTCGCGGCTGCTGCGCTGCGTGTCCAGCTGGAGGCCTCTGCTCAGCGCCAGGGCCAGCTCCTCGCACGCCTCCATCTCCTCGCCCTGCCGCGCGCGGGGGACACGTTACCGGCGCGGGGCTCGCGCGGCGCGCGCCGCCCTCAACCCCCTGCCTCCCACGCAGGGCCCGCCGCCCTCCCAGCCCTGCGGCGCCCAACTACTCACGACAGCTCAGAGAAATTCGGGGGTTTTCGCGGATACCCTGAGCTCCACCCCGAGCCGCCCACACGGCTCCCGCGCCAGCACCGCGGCGGCGCCCGGGGTGCCCCAGCGCGAGGGGCGGCCGCGGCCGCGCGCTCACC